GGATTTGGGGTGGATTTGGGATAAATTTGGGATAAATTTGGGATAAATCTGGGATAAATTTGGGATAAATTTGGGGTGAATTTGGGTTAAATTTGGGATAAATTTGGGATGGATTTGGGGTGGATTTGGGGGATAAATTTGGGATAAATCTGGGGTGAATTTGGGATGGATTTGGGGTGGATTTGGGGGATTTTGGTACCTCGTGGATCCCGAAGTGTGCGTAGGAGTCGAAGTAATAATCCTTGGAGGTCATGTCCTCGGCCGAGGGTTTGGCGCTGCCCTCCCCGGGGGGGCAGGAGACCTGTGGGGGGCAGAGCACGGCTTGGGGGGGCCCCTGGGACCCCCCCCGGATCCCTCAGATCCCAAAATCCCGAAATCCCGGGAAAGAAACCCGGAATTCCCGCGGAAATCCCGTTAAAAACGCCCAAATCCCAGCGAAATCCCACCAGAATCCCATCAAAATCCCAATGAAATCCCACTGGAATCCCAAAAATTTGGAGGTTTTTGGGGTCCTGGGGCTCCCCCTGAGTCCCTCAGATCCCAAAATCCCGAAATCCCGGGAAAGAAACCCGGAATTCCCGCGGAAATCCCGTTAAAAACGCCCAAATCCCAACAAAATCCCATGGAAATCCCAATGAAATCCCACTGGAATCCCAAAAATTTGGAGGTTTTTGGGGTCCTGGGACCCCCCCGGATCCCTCAGATCCCAAAATCCCCAAATCCAGGGAAAAAAACCCGGAATTCCCACGAAAAACCCCGGAATTCCCGCGGAAATCCCGTTAAAAACGCCCAAATCCCAACGAAATCCCAACGAAATCCCAGCAAAATCCCACTGAAATCCCCCAAATTCAGAGGTTTTGGGGTCCTGGGACCCCCCCTGGATCCCCTCAGATCCCAAAAATCCCAAAATCCCGGGAAAAAATCCCGGAATTCCCACGGAAATCCCTTAAATCCCATAACAAAAACCCCAAATCCCATAAAAACCTCACTAAAATCCCATTGGTTAAAAGAGTTTTGGGGTCCTGGGACCCCCCCCCGATCCCAAAAATCCCCAAATCCTGGGAAAAATCCCGGAATTCCCAAGGAAATGCCTGGAATTCCCAGGAAAATCCCATTAAAAACAGCCAAATCCCAATGAAATCCCCAAAAATGTGGAGGTTTTTGGGGTCCTGGGACCCCCCCCCGATCCCAAAAATTCCCCAAAATCCCAGAATTCCAACAAAAACCCCATAAAAAAAACCCCGAAATTCCCACAAAAATCCCCGAAAAAATCCCATTTTCCCCAAAAAATTTAATTTTGGGGAGGATCCCCCCCCCCCCAAAAAAATCCGGGAGAAGCCAAAAATTCCCGGAGAAGCCAAAAATTCCCGAATTTTTCGGGAATTGACCCAAATCCTGTCCCTGTCTGCTCCTGGGGCCGATTTTTGGGGCGTTTTCCTGGGATTTGGGGGAAAACTTGGGTGGATTTTTCCAAGATTTGGGGAATTTTTTTGGGAATCTTTTGGGATTTGGGGAAAAACTCTCCCAAAATTCCCTCTCTGGCCTCGTCCCGGGGTTGATTTTGGGGTTTTTCCCTGGAGTTTTGAGGGGTTTTGGGGTGTTCTTTTCTGGGATTTGGGGTTTTATTTGAGATTTTTTTGGGATTTTTTGGGGGGTTTTTGGATTTTTTGGGGATTTAGGATTTTTTGGGGGGGATTTGGGATTTTTTTTGAGGATTTGGGGATTTTTTTGGGGGGATTTTGGATTTTATTTGGGGTTTTTTTGGGATTTTTGGGGGTGGATTTGGGGGTTTTTTGGGGTTTGGGATTTTATTTGGGATTTTTTTGGGGGGATCTGGGATTTTTTTAAGATTTGGGATTTGAAATTTGGGATTTTTTGGGGGATTTGGGATTTTTGGGGGGGATTTGGAGTTTTTTTGGGATTTTATTCGGGACTTTTTCGGGATTTGGGGATTTTTTTGGGGGGGGATTCAGGATTTAAGATTTGGGATTTTTTTTGGGACTCAGGATTTGAGATTTGGGATTTTATTTGGGATTTGGGATTTTTTTGGGATTTTATTTGGGATTTTATTGGGATTTGGGATTTTTTTGGGATTTGGGATTTTTTTTGGATTTTATTTGGGATTTTTTTGGGATTTGGGATTTTTTTTGGGATTAAAGATTTTTTTTTGGGATTTGAGATTTGGGATTTTTTTTTGGGCATTTGGGATTTTCCCTCATTTCCCAAACCCCAAATCCTCCTGCACTTGGGGCCGTTTTGGGGCCGATTTTTGGGACTTTTCCCCAGGAATTCCTCTCGTTTTTGGGGTTTATTTTTTGTTGTTTTTCCTGGGAATTGGGATTTTTTTTGGGGGGGATTTTGGGGTTTTTGGGGCTCGGATTTTGGGGGGATTTTAGGAATATTTACATCTTCCTGAGGCGACTGCAGGCTCATCCAGTTAGCCAGGTTGGCTACAAAACTCTGGGGAAAGAGGAACGGAGAGAGGTCACCCAAAAATGGGGCTGGGGTCCCAAAAATTGGGGTTGGGGGTCCCTAAAATGGGGTTGGGGGTCCCTAAAATGGGGTTGGGGGTCCCTAAAATGGAGTTTTGGGTCCCTAAAATGGGATTTTGGGCCCCTAGAATGGGGTTGGGGGTCCCTAAAATGGGGTTTTGGGTCCCTAAAATGGGGTTGGGGGTCCCTAAAATGGAGTTTTGGGCCCCTAAAACGGAGTTTTGGGCCCCTAAAATGGGGTTTTGGGCCCCTAAAATGGGGTTGGGGGTCCCTAAAATGGAATTGGGGGTGCCAAAAACTGGGTTGGGGGTCCCTAAAATGGAATTAGGGGTCCCCAAAAATGGGGTTGGGGTCCCCAAAATGGGGTGGGGGGAGCCTAAAATGGAATTTGGGGTACAAAATATGGATTTGGGGGTCCCTAAAATGGGGTTTTGGGGCCAAAAATTGGGTTGAGGTCCCCAAAATTGGGTGGGGGGAACCTAAAATGGGTCTGGGGGTGATCAGGACCCCAAACTTGGGGGGCCAGAGGGGATTTAGGGGGCTCAGAGCCCAAATCTGGGGGGATTTGGGGGGCTCCAAACCCAGATTTTGGGGGTCCCTGAGAACCTGGGGGGGTCCCAGAGCCCAAATTTGGGGTCTCCGAGGATTTGGGGGGGGTCTCAACCTCTAATTTAGGGGTCGCCCCCCGATTTTGGGGGGGTCCAGCGGCTCCAGCGTGCCCCCCCGATCACGACACCCCCTCAATATCGCGACAGGCCCCGCCCCTATCGCTCCCCCCACCCCAAATTCGGGATTTTGGGGGGGGGGGGGGGGTCCGGAGTCTCCACGTGGCTCCGGAGTCACGTGGACCCCCAAAAAATCCCCCCAAAAAATCCCCCAGACCCCAAAAATGTCCCAGAGGAGCCCCCAGACTCATTAAAGCTCCCCCGGGACCCTCAAAGACTCCTCAAAACCTCACTAAAGCCTCCCCCAGACCCAATTCAAGCCCTCAGGCCCCTCAGGCCTCACTAAACACCCCTCAGAGACCCCCTCAAAACATCCCCAAATACCCCAAAACCTCCCTAAAACCCCCTCAGAGCCCCCCCAAACCTCACCAACCCCCCCCAAAGCTCATTTAAACACC